GAGAACAATTTAAACCTTGGGAATATGATACTTTAGTAGCCTCAGGGAAGCCACTGGTACTTCCATTTTTCTCTTCAGTTATCATTTGAAGCTTGGCTATATTCAAATAGTAAACATATGACTTTACTTATCATTGGGTTTCCTTTCAGATATGGATGAACTCAGGGCCTATTGACAAAATCTCTGTTGAAAAAGAACATGCTTGCAAGGACCCAAGTTCAATCCCTGGTTCCACCAAAAAAAAAAAAAAAAAAAAAAGAATATGCAATTTATAATTTCAGACTTACCATTCCATTTTTCCTCATGGTGACAAAAAGCTTTACTTTCCTGGATTAATTTCTACTAGTGCTTTGTTATGAATAAAATGTATGCTTTACTTTTCTTACATCAGAATTACTCTTAATCTTTTCATACTTTAATGTTGATAGTTTAAAAGTAGATAGTAACATGAATAGACAGCTTTTCTGAAAATAACTTAGAAAAAAATGTAACAGTTTTTATAATTCATCCAGAACTTGACCCTGAAAAGGACAGGGCAGAACTGTCCTCCTTAACACTTTCTTTCTCTCTTTCTTTCTTTTCTTTTTTTTTCTGCAGTACCAGGGATTCAACTCAGGACACTGTGCTTGCCAGGCAAGCACTTATTCTACTGAGCTATCTCCCCAGCCCAAGACTGTCTTGTGGAGTAGGGCTACTAGCTCTATGGCTCATCTGTGAATTACCCATGAGCTTTTGTTGTTTTTATGGTATTAAGGATTCAACCCAAGGCCTCCCACATTAGTTGAACATGCTACACTGAGTTGCATCCTTAGTCCTTTTAAAATTCTATTTTTGGGGCCGGGGAGATAGCTCAGTAGAATAAGCGCTTCCCTGGCAAGCGCAAGGGCTGGAGTTCAATCCCTGGTTCTGCCAAAAATAAATAAAACTTCTATTTTTATTGCCTGGCAATCACAAGGGCCTGAGTTCAATCCCTGGGTCTGCAATAAATAAAATTAAATACATAAATAAAACAAAATTCTGTTTTTTAACAAATTGCTCTGGAGCCGGGGAGATGGCTCAGTGGAATAAGTGCTTCCCCCGGCAAGCACAAGGGCCTGAGTTCAATCCCCAGTTCTGCCAAAAACAAACAAACAAACAAACAAAATTTGCCCAAACCAACCTTAAATTTGTACCCCTCTTGCCTCAGCCTCCCCAGCAGCTAGGATTACACGTGTGTACCACAACACTTAGCCCAGTGATGGCATTTTTTTTGCGGAACTGGGGATTGAACTCAGGTCCTTGCGTTTGCCAGGGAGGCGCTTACTCCACTGAGCCATCTCCCCGGCCCAGTGATGGCATTTTTAAAAAATGAAATTAAATTTAAAATGCCACCACTTGATGAGTGAATGCTGACCAAACACATGAAATGTTTGACTCATCTCTTCCAACTCTGCTGAACCTGGAGAGACAATGAAGACAGTCACATCTTTTGGATATACAGAGGTGTCTCAAGTGGACATTTGTCATAGTCACAGCAAGGCAGAAGACAGCTCACCTATGATATAAGCTGGGAGCAGCACCCAATATTGTAGGCAGCCGAGTTAGATAAAAATATTATAGGCAGTCAGACAGGGCCAGGCCCTCAAAGGAGACAGCACAGAAGAGGAGATACGCCTTACAACTGTGGGAGGGGCGGATGCTCCAGCTGTGAACCAGACCTAAAGACCTAAAGGCCAAACAAATGCTAAACGAGTAGCACCTTGGATTGATAGTCTAAATAGGTATCAACCATCTGGAAAGACCCAAGTGAGTCACTAGCCCAATTCCCAACAGAAAGAGACCCTGGGGGCTGGAGAGATGGCTCAGTGGTCTAAAGCACCTACTTGAAACAAGCTTGGCAAAGCACAGGGACCGCGGTTCGATCCCCAGCACCACATGCCAGCCAGACCCGCCCCCTGGTGGGCTGAGCTGGCCACACACACACACAATAAATAAATGTAATAAATAAAAATAAATAAATATTTTTAAAAAAAGAAAAAAAAAAAAAAAAAAAAAAGAGACCCTGTCCCCTATGTAATCCCATTGGTTGACCATAGTTTTGGCCCACCTCCCCCCCAGCAAGTTCCCATTCTCTCTACCTTAGCCTCACATGGTTTTACACTATAAAAATCCCTGGAAGAGACAGCTTCCCGGGGAACTACCAGCTCGGGCCCCCCTCCTGTCCCTCTCTTGGACAGGACCTTTCTTTCTCTCAATAAATATATTGTGCTCATAACCTCTGTTTGTTCCTAAAATTCATTCTTCGTTTTAGAGAACACGAACTCGTGCAGGTCAGGTTGGGAGATTGTTTTTCTCTATGTCATTTGGAGGTTCCCTATATGGTTTAGAGGTCACCCACCCAAGACCAGTTTTTTCTTTCCTGTATCACCACGGCACAGGGTCTTTCATCCATCTTCCACCTGGTCACCCAGCCATAACAACAAGGAGGTGGGGAATAAGGAAGCTGGCAACACAAGAATACACAGCGATCTGGAGATGGCGCCCTGGGACCCAGCAATCCAGAGACCAGTATAGGCCGTGAGCCAAATGGGACATCTCAGACAGGCAGAGTGACAGGGTCAGAGACAGTTGCAGAGCTCACAGAAGAGTAGTACCTGGGGCAAAAGGCCACAAACACTGAGTCCAAGAGCAGCTGGAGGTTTTGTCTTTTATGCCATGGGGAGTTTACTACAAACAACATATGCAAATCTTGTAGTGATAAAAATGTTCTTCATTATGGTAAAAACATACTTTCATAAAACATTTTTTATAAATTTCTCTAAAGGGGTTCACAAGCCACAGTTGGCACATGGGCTGTATGGTTATCACACCATATGGTTCCCACACAAGTGATATGATTATCACACTGTCACAAGCTAGCTTAGACTCGGAAAGTAACTTTGAAGCCAGACAGAAGCATGAGATGGCTTTTGTCCTGCTCACTTCACAGGGGTACAGTCACACGGAGTGAGAAGTTATAGAGATGTTCTCGGTACTTCTGCTCTACTAAAAATAAAATCCTCAGATACAGGAGATAGAAAGGAGGGAAGTCAACTGGGGTAGGATATCAAAAGCAAAAGAGGAGTACAATGGCACATACTTGTAACCCCAGCCATTCATGAGGCTGAGGTGGGAGGACCACAAGTTGATGAATGCAAATCCAGTGTGAACAACTTATTGAGACCCTGTTTCAAAAGGGAGTGGAGGGGCCGGGGAGATGGCTCAGTGGAATAAGCGCTTCCCTGGCACGCGCAAGGGCCTGAGTTCAATCCCCAGTTCCTCAAAAAAAAAAAAAAAACAAAAAAACAAAAAAAAAAAAAAAAAAAAAAAAAAAAAAAGGGAGTGGAAAGGGTGGGGTGTGGTTCAGTGGTAAGAGTTTTCTTAGCATGCACAAGTTCCAGAGTTCAAGTTCCAGTTCAGCACAAAAGAAACTTTAAAAAGTCAAAAGGGGGCTGGTGAGATGGCTCAGTGGTCTAAAGCACCTACTTGGAACAAGCTTGGCAAAGCACAGGGACCACAGTTCAATCCCCCAACCCCAGGTGGGCTGAGCTGCCCCCCCCCCACAAATAAATAAATGTTTAAAAAAATTACTTTAAAAAGTCAAAAGGTATAGTACAGGAGAACAATCAATACTCTCTCCTTCCCCACCTTGGACTTCTTTCCTCCTATGCTTGTGAAACTCTTTTTGATTCATCATGGACCTAGAGGTCAAATATATAAAGATCTCACAAAGTCAACTTATTGGAGAGGACAATCACACTTTTTTTTTTTTTTTTTTTTTGAACCAGGAATTGAACTCAGGCCCTTGCGCTTGCCAGGCAAGCGCTTATTCTACTGAGCCAACTCCCCGGCCCCAATCACACTTTCTAAGCAGAAAAAATTTCTACCAAGAAATCATTTTTAGCCAGCCATGGTGGCACATACCTATAATCCCAACACTTGAGAAGTTGAGGCAGGAAGACTGCCAGGAATTCAAAGCCAGCCAGGGTTAAGGAGTGATGCCCTACAAAAAAAAAAAAAAAAAAAAAAA